TCTTTCTTTCTTTCTTTCTCTTTCTTTCTTTCTTTCTTTCTTTCTCTCTTTCTCTCTTTCTTTCTTTCTTTTCTTTCTTTTATTCAGACAGAGTCTCACTCTGTAGCCCAGGCTGGAGTGCAGTGGCACCATCTTGGCTCACTGCAATCTCTACCTCCTGGATCTCAGTTCAAGCAATTATTCTGCCCCAGTCTCTCGAGTAGCTGGAATTACAGGCATGCGCCACCATGCCCAGCTAATTTTTGTATTTTTAGTAGAGATGGGGTTTCACCATGGTCAGGCTGGTCTTGAACTCCTGACCTCGTGATCTGCCTGCTTTGGCCTCCCGGAGCTCTGGGATTAGAGGCATGAGCCATGGAGCCTGGCCTACATGGTATTTCTAAAGAGACAATCTTATAAGCAAGTATTTGCCAGGGTTTCTCCTGTTGAGGGAAGTGTGTGCCCCAATGTGAGAACACTAACATCTCATTAATAGAGATGGATGCCTGGCCAGATAAAACTGCCAGGTGAAACCCATCAGCGTTTTTGTTTTTTTTTTTTTTAATTTTTGCCCTTTCTTCAAGCTATAAAATCAAACATTGATCTACCATGTCTTGAGAGAGAGAGTGTATTCAGTTCATCTGAGCATTCTAAGCCCCAAGGTGTCTTAGTCCATTTTCTGCTGCCATAACAGAGTATCACAGACTGAGTAATTTATAAAGAATATACATTTATTTGGTTAACAGTTCTGGGACCTGGGAAATCCAGGAGCATGGTGCCAACATCTCGTGTAGGCCTTCATGCTGCGTGACGTGTTATCCCATGGCAGAAGAGCAAGCAAGAGCTGAGACAAAGAAAAAAGGTACCAAACTCCCAGAGAACCCTAGTGACCTAATCACTTACTAAAGGTCCTACTTCCTAATATTATCACGTTGGCAAATAAATTTCAACTTCAGTTTTAGAGGGGACATTCAAACCACAGCACACGGTTATTGGCATTCTGTTTTATGTACCAATTCTCTGTCAGTTTGGTTAGTATGAGACAGTTCCAAAGAATCTCATCATATTTGGAGGCCCTTACAAAGAGTTTCTGAATGTCCGAAGCTTGAGGACCAGGTCCTAGAATACAGTGTCTATATCAATGCACTTCTGTTTCTAGAAAGTCTTTTTTCGATCATCCTCCAGTTCATCATCTCTTAGGTCACACTCCCTTCACGTCCTTTGCACTTCATGGATACAATAAAACCTCAATTCCATTTCATTTTTCAACTTATTAATAAGCCTATATGTTCAAAGTGAAGACTTGGCAATCACAGGTCAACAATGTAAGTGTTTTCCAATAAAATCCTACCTTTCTTTCTGTTAACGGGGTCAATAAACACAGCAAGGTCTTTGTTGCTGGGTTATCTGGTTATAGCTGGTCTCTGACAATATTTTACACATCAATTAATATTCATAGGCTACTTCATTTCAGGCAAAGCAAAAGATGTTGCCACGCCACAGGAAATCTCAAGATTTTTGTGGGGGAATTCTGGCCAACTTGCCAAATTAGGACATACTAGCGGTTTGGAAAACAATCTAATATGTTGATGTGGAAAGACTGCATATAAATTCTTTAATTATCTCTCATTTTGGCTAAATTTTAGCTTTGTGGTGTGAGAGCAGATCTGCATTTGCACTGCTGCCATAATATTTGATGGCAGTTCCACTTGGCTCCTTTCTAGGCCTGAGTTCAGAGCAATATGGCAGTTTTGTGATGTGGACACAGTTTCTATGCTAAAGCCATCCATTTTAATAAAGTAAAGGTCTAGCCCATTGAGCCTAGTTGAATACAGCTGTTGCACTGATCTCTTCTGATGCTACAGCCATTGAGTTCATTTCCTTAATCACGTTTTCCATACGGGTAAAAGCATGAAGCTGCTTAGTATCTTCCAGAGTGCATGCATTCTAATTTCAGAATTTAATCAAATGGAACTGGCTTCCTGACAGAGTAAACAGAGCAAAATACTGTATCCAGACCAGCTGCCAAGCTAGCAGCCTGAATTTATTTTTCTTTGCTTTGCTAAATGCATCTTGAATATTTGAAAACATAGTCCAGGTTTAGGAAATTTAACATTTTTGATTCAAGACCAGTCACCTCTAATATTCCTCCATAAGTACATCCATTAAATTTTAAAAGTCAGGTAGCTGAGTTAATCCTTTCTCACATGGCTGTGGCAGAGAAGAAAACACATTC